TAAAGCCTGCAAGGCATGGGGAGGGCTTGGCAGAGAGATTGTGTTGTTAAGCAGAGATGAACTTTGAGTCTTAGTCTCAAATGTGGCTCCCAAAGTCAGAAGGGTAAATGAAAAGGGTGTGGTTAAAGGCTCTTTGGCAGACTAGAGAAGCAGTTTGTAATTCTGTGAGCATATATAGAAATTAGCTATTAAAAAAACATAACTGGTGAGAGACAGTGGTGTGTTTGCTATAAGAAATGGATACAAGTCAGCAAGATCAGGAGTGGGTAGAGACAGACTGGACATTTTAGAAGGGCTGAGAGTTCAGCTCCTGCATTGATCTAGTCTGTCAAAGGGGGACTGGAGGTGAGAACATGTTCGCTCGGGTTTTCCAGGTAGAAAAAGCAATGGATGGTTCCAGGGTTAGAGCCAGAAATGCACGTGGTGTCCATATGGTGGGGAATGGCTAAGCGGTCAGTGTTAAGGTCCACACCCATCCCCCGTGGTTGGATCGGGGGAAGCAGAGAGAAGAGGAGAGTTTTTCAGCACCCATGAGTCACCACATGTATCAGAAAAGTCATAGGTTGAGACGCTGGGTGTTGCCATCCTGGAGAAGTGAAAACTGGGGGCGGGGGAGGGGGGGCCCATGACTAGGAAGGCAAATTAAAGCAGCATTATCTTGCTCAGGAGGAGATAAACTCTCCAGCTAGCCAGAAAAGGGTTTTTTGGATCCAGCTGAGGCAGAGCTGGAATCCCTTGGTCCAAGGTAATGAGAAGTCCTATGTGCCCAGAGTCGAGCTGTGCAGGCACAGTGCCCTGGGCATCAGGTAGGAGATTAGCATGTTGGCACCTACTAGCGGCTGTCCTGACAAACCCAGGTGCGCAGGCTGAGGACCTTGTCCCTTGCCTTAGGTTCCCCCCTCCCCCACCCTAGTCTCCTGGTCCCTACGACCTTGGACACCAGTTCACCTTGTCTCCTCCCTTGGAACCCTGACCTTTAGGCTGCCCCTCATGCTGCCTTGCAGAATGTCGCCATTGTCCTGCGCCAGGGGCCCAGATCCTACTCCTACTCTCTCTTCTGGGCCCCAGAAGGATGTCGCTGGAGGACTCAGGTACTTTTCCTTACTGAGACCCTGCTGCCACCGAATTATTAAAAATTATCACTTAACCAGGTTGAAGCTGGGTTTCCTCCTCTAGAGAAAGTGCAATTGAATGCAGCTCCTCTCTCTCCATGGGCTTTCAGACTCAAGTACAGTTTGTACAAACTCCAGGACTAAAGCCATGTTAATTCTCTTCGCTGTGTTTCTTCCGTTTTAACAGGTCTGAAAATGCAAGCACACACACAGACACACACACACACACACACACACACACACACACACACAAAACCTCTTCTCTCTAGGAGCTACACTCTGTGCTTACCACTACTGTTCAAATCCACCTTCCAAATGACCATGGAGCAGCACCACACAGCAGTTAAAGGTGTCCCTGGAAGGCTTTCCTGGCTCAGAAAATGGTGAAGACCAAAAGAAAGTGAAATAGAACAGAAGACAAGAGTCATCAACATTCCAAAGATGGAGGGTACATGAATGGCTTGGGTGAAGAAGCCTTGGGAGAGTCAGGGACTGGGGTGGGGCTGGGCTGCTTCCTCACCCAGGAGCGAGACCAGAAGTAACAGTAGTGGTTGGAGACACGTGAACAGATCTTTCAACTCTCAGACCCCTCCCCAGTATTGTAGCCATGCAGCTATCCTTCCTCAACTGGGAAAAGGGTCCCTGTGAATTTGGTGAGAATTGTTACACTTCGCATAGGTGGAGAAGGGGCTCAGTTGTCTTTGTTATCACTCTTTCTTGCTGAGTTAGGGTGGGCTCCATATCAGATCTTAGAACATGTTCTAGTATCAGAAATTATGGAGAATGCTGTCTGCATGTCCTTTGGGTGGTATCCTCCATATAAGAGTTTACTATCTGGGAGACAAGACAGGCAGACATTTTAAAAAGGTGGAGTCTTCTGCCTTTTAAGTTTGGATTTAAGAAAGCAGGCATATTCGTTAATAGAAGCCAGTAAGCAGTCATATTGCAGAAGGACAATGAGTAAGGAAACCCATGCATGGTGTCAGAGAAAGTTAACAAAATCGATGAGCAAGGGACCCCTCCCCAATGACCTCCAATCCTGCTAATACCTAGGTACCTTCCATCATCATCTCCAGAACGGAGACCCTAAAACCACCCAGTCAGTGAAAATCAAGTCATTCTGACTGCTTCCTACTGAAACTGGGGCTTAGGTTCTCCCTTGCTTGCCCTCTAGAGTTGAAGAGAAGATGCTGTTGTTGAAGACATCACACCCTTCAGATACAGAACTTGGAGGAACTGAGCTGAAACCTACCTGGGAGCTATCTCCTGAGGATTCTCTCTCGTACCATGTGAAGGTGTTAGTCAGGTCACCAAAGAACAAAAGCACTAATAGCCCCACCCAGCTGTAAAACCTATAACCACCAAAGATAATCATCAAGGGAAGATATTTCAAGGCTGCGTTAGTCACTTTTATATCTTTGGCATAGCTAACAACCTGATAACTGGACGTAAGATCTTCCCAATTGTAGAGGCTTCATACCTGGCACTATAAACCCAGCCAACTCCCCATGGCTGATGAGGTCATGGACCCTAAAGAGAAACCTACAGCTGCCACTCTCCTAAACTAGCATGACTCTTAACCACATTCTAAATCCTGATCCTTTCACTCCCAACTGATTGTAGCTCTCGCCCTCCTCAAAGAAGCCTCTTTCTTCAGTACAGACAGTGGGGTTTTGAATGAGCATGGTCCCCATGGGCTCGTAGAGTCCCATGCTTAGTCCCTAGTTGATAAACTAGGAAAGATTAGCAGTGTGGCCACGTTGGGTGGGTGTATCATTTTGGAAGAGGTGTGTAGCTGGGAATGAGCTTTTGCCAGAAACTAGCCTCAGCAGAGAAGTGGATCTCGAATCTGGGATGTCTGGGTGGAGAACGAATATACAAACACAGGATTCTGATGCAAGCTGCCAGGCTATCAGCTGCGGGGCAAGTTCTTCTGCTTCTTCATCTACTTCAGCTTCTGCTTCTTCTACTTCTGCTGCTGCTTCTGCCCCAATCTTCAAACCCCAGTCTTTTATTGTCTATTTTACACAAGGAAAATGATTCTGTTTTCTTGCCACAGGTTAATCATTACCTGGGCAAAGCAGTTTACAAGAAGTAAAAAAATTCTTTGAAATCAGAACATCAACCAGTTCTGATTTATAAGGCCATAGGCAGTCAGCCCTAAAATCCCTAAGTTCCTCAGAAACTTTATTCATCATGACCAAGTTCTTTTCTGTTTCAGTATGACTCTTTTGTCAAGTTTTATAATCAGTTAAAAAGCAATTTCTGCATTTTTCCCAAATTTCCCCAATTCTTTCATCAATCAGGTTTTCCCCAGAACTTGCTTTGCAGCTTCAATGCCTGCCCGCTCCATCAGCTCAGGAAGACTCATATTATCATACAGCACATCCATATTTTCAGAAGCCACTGGTGTGGAAGGAGAAAAAACATGAAGAACAAGTACACTAATAGAATTGCTGTGACCAGAATCATCTGTAAAATTGCCAAATGTGTATGCAGACGCCATAGAAGCGGACCTCGGGGCACATAGCTGTTTCTCCTTGGCCCTCAACTAACAAGCTCATTTAGCAACCACTGGGTTGCCTGGAAGGAATTGTTGGAACGGCACATAAAGGGGGATTATACTCTGCTGTCTCTGGCGTTCTTTGAAGTTTCAAAAAACCTACACCAGGCCCTGTGCCCCTCTTTCTTTCTTTGCCTGCTGCTGGTAGATTCTGATGTAAAACTTTCATCTATTTCTCTGGCATCATGGCTGCCTGCATGGCACCATGCTTCCCACAATGATGATGGTGGAATAGGCTCTGAAACTGTAAGTAAGCCCCAGTTACATGCTCTTTTTTGTAAGGCGTGTCTTGATCATGGTGTCTCTTCACAAGAATAGAATATAATGACTAAGACATGGACCATCATAGAAATCTGCAACTGGTCAAAATGCAGAGAATTATTGACCATGGGAGACCCACCCACAGTTGATATGTCTGTAAATTTAGCCCCACACCTGAAGGTCATGGAACACTGAGGAAGAAGCAATGGAAAGATTCTAAGAGTCAAAGAGAAGGAAGGGCTGCTGCAAGATTGTGTCTTCAAGATAGGACTGGGAGCTGTACTCATGAAATCTCAAAACTGGACTCACCTAAACAAGACTACACACTGACAACACAAGTTGGCATTGCAGTGTGGACAGGGAAAAGGCCCTAACCACACATGGAAAACTATAGACAACAGATGGCTGCTGAGAGGACAATCAGCCTTCTACAGGGACAAACCCCTGAGAGCTTACCCTATCCCAAGTGTCAGCCCTAAATATATACAAATACGAGCATCACGAAGTGAGCTCAGCAGACTGTATCCATGTATACATATGTGTGCCTATGTACAGTAATAAAGAACAGTTCATGAAGCTTACAGGAAGTGCTGAACACGGGGGAGTTCCAGCAGGGAGGGGGTGAAGATGACGCAAATAAAGTACTCATATATGAAAGTCTCAAAAAATGTAAATGCAAATTTTAAAAGAAGGGTTTGAGGGTCTCTACTGTTTCTGGCTGTCAGGTATTGGGCGTAATTGATGCATGACAGTTTGCTTTCTGTTACTGTGATAAACGCCATGACCAAAAGCAACTTGAGGAGGAAAGGGGTTTATTCATCTAATAATCCCTGGCCACAGTCCATCTTTGAAGTACATTACGAAGGCACTCAAGGCAAGAACTCGGATGCAAGAACCATAGAGAAATGCTGCTTGCTGGCTTGCTCATTCCCCCATGCTCAACTGCATTTCTCGTATAGTCCATGTCCACCTGCATAAGGGTGGTGTCTCCCACATTGGACTGGGCCCTTGAATATCCAATCATCAGACAAGAGAATTTCTCACTGAAATGGTCATAGGATCTTGGCCATCCTTAATTGAGAGTGTTTCAGATAACTCCAGACTAAAAATATCCCCAATTTATTTCTGATGCATTCCAAAGTCACTGACATCAGCACCTTTCACTCAAAACTACTCAAAAATGAACACAATTAAGTAATACTAACATTTATTTTATTTTATATAGGGGAAAATGTTGCCATCTTTAGCCTACAATTTGAGGAGTTTTAACAAACACCAGCAAACTTTCTTATAGACATGGCAAGGATAGGGCATGCCTATTAGACTCATAAACTTACAGTAGCAATGGCTACCTGGACATTACCAAGAGAGCCCAGACCTGTTAACATTCCATCACTGATAGAGGAGGGGCCAATAAGGCTCAACACTTCCCTCAGACACTGTAGGCAATTGATGCTGCTGGGGAGGAGGGAGTCACATTCCTCAGCAGTGTAGCCTCTGGGGCTAAAAAGATGGCTCAGAGGTTAAGAGCACTGACTGTTGTTTCAGAGATCCTGGTTCAATTACCAGCAACAACATGGTGGCTCAAAACCATCTATAATAAGACCTGGTGCCCTTTTCTGGTCTGCAGGGGTATATGCAAGCAGAATGCTGTATACATAATTAGTAAATTTAAAAAGGACAATGGGAGAGAAGAATATAATCAGGATAGATTATTTACATTAATATGAATGATTAGTAATATCAAAAGAAGAACACTTAGCACCCTTTTCCTACCACCTAGAACATGCACAGAAATCATCACTTCCATGGATGCCATGGTACCATATCTCAAATGTATCCTGGACTTAGTATGGACTGGGCTGGGGCCAGGCTTTGAGGGAGATTTAGGCTTCTACAAGTTGCTGCAGAAATGACAGGCTCCCATAAAGGGCAGACAGGGGCATCTTGGCTTCCAGATCCCAAGTTGACCTGGGATTATTCGGCTCCATCTCCAGACCACACTCCATCAGCAATTCATAAGTAATGGTCAAGCCCTCACCCTCGAGTGGGGCAAGAAGCTGAGGCTGGAGAGTGAAGGGGATGTTCCAGGGATACTTGAAGTTCGGCTGCAAGATGCTCTTTACCTAGAAGAAGAACTCTCAGGTTGGAAAGACCAGGCTCTGACACCAGGGTAAAAAACCTTCTGTCCTAACAGCCAGGAGCCACACAGGATGATGAACTAAGAAAAAACTGAAGCCACTGTGCACTGGTTCCTCAGCTCCAACATGGTAATAATAAAACCTGTGCTGCACAGGGGTGGCGTGTGTGTGTGTGTGTGTGTGTGTGTGTGTGTGTGTGTGTGTGAATATGTATGCACATGACTGGGCACACATTTGTATTTACAGATAAACACATGGGAGAGAAAAGACAACTTACAAATGGCAACTGTAAACAAAGAAGGCTGTAACTGACTTTCATCCCCTGAGTTCCTACAGAGCTGCCTTCCTGGGTAGCTAATATAGACCCAGTGGGCCTTGCTTCTGAGGCTGCCACAAACACAGAGATAGATGCTCCTGACAAGATCAAACCCCACCTGCCTGCTCCCCAGAGGCAAAGCAACCAGGGGGTTCCCAACTCCTCTCCTTGTGGAAAATTTATTGCTTTCTGCTAGAATGTTCTTGCTCTTCCTGCTTTCCTCTCTCCCTCCCTGGATGCTTAGTCCTGAAAGTTTCCTACCAGCTCTCGTTGATGGAGGAGGAGCCTCTTCTCCATAGACAGGGCCAGCAGATTGAGTTGGGTATCACTCAGCTCTGGGGGAAAAGACACATGAAAAAACAGTGACAGACTCAACATTTTCTTCTCACCATGAACGAGGACAGCCAATGAGAGAAGAATTCCAGGACAGAGGAATATGTCCCATTGGACTCGAAGGTCAAGCTCACTGACTTAGAAAGCTCTCCTGTCTATGGCTAGGCACATGGGAGAGAAAAGAAAACTTACAAATGGCAACTGTAAATAAAGAAGGCTGTAACTGACTTTCATCCCCTGAGTTTCTACAGAGCTGCCTTCTTAGGTAACTAATATAGACTAAGTGGGCCTTGCTTTTGAGGCTGCCACAAACAGAGATGCTCCAGAATGCTAAGCAACATGGCCCAGAGCCTCAAAATCGAAGGGCTGAGGCAGCAATCATCTTCCACCAACAATGTGCTAGAAGCTTGGTGACTGCTCACTTTCTACACCTCAGACTCCATCCGCAGTTCATGTACTATTATCATTCTGGCCTTGCTGGCCTTAGAGAAAAGGGTGAGGTGAGAATGACCATGATAACTCAAGAGCTTTGGGGAGGCAGCATCTGAAACAGCCCCGTGAGAGCCAACACGAGAACTCCCCCACACTTCCCTCGAATCACTCTTACCCATTAGGGCTTGAAGGAGATAAAGAAGGAGGTTCCTGAGGTCAATCCATGGGGGTATGGAGTCCTGTCGCAACTGATCTAGGATTGCACCACCTGGGCCATCCACATGCCCCAACTGATCCAGTTCCAGCTAGAGGAGACAGATGTTCTGTTACTAACAGCATTCCCAGTGCTGGGGACTGGATGGCTTTATATATGCTGAATGAGTCCTCTGCCATGAAGCTACAACCTGGCTCTTTTTCCTTGCATTTCTCTCTTTCGTGTGACAGGGTCTCAGGCTATTGCCCAAGCCAGATTTGAACTAGCCATGTAGCCCAGAAGGTCTTAAACTAGCAAACCTCCCGCAAGTACCTTCCCATATCTGGATCAAATCGTTGTTGTGTAATATACCTATGTCCAGAGGAGTTAAGAAAGGTATTGGCTGGGGTTCTTCCTCTCCCTGGACGAACCTGAGCAGAATTCAGGGACCACACTTGAGCCCTCGTTGTTATGCATGGAGTCAGGGTCCCCTATCTTTGACATCTTTCTCGATCTCCTGATTATCACGTAAATTCTTTCTCCCCCATGTATCTTGGAATCCTCATCACCCAACTGACTCTTGCAGGTTAGATCATCTCTAGGCAGCTATGGGACTCTTACCATGCTAAGCAGGTCATTCAGATTCTCCCTGTTACTAAGCATGCTCTGAAGGTTAGAGAACACAATTTCTTGAACATCCTTTGGAAGCATGGCCAGTTCCTGTGTTATCTGGGAAACCTCATTTTGTAGGCGCTTGAAATCTGCACAAATTGACAGCAACTTGAAAAAACCAATCAGAAAGTGAGAGCAATTCTTCAATTAAACACCTGTGGGATGGTAAGCCCTTGCCCTTCAGTACCATTTCTTGTGGCTAAAAGCGTCTCCATTGATAGCCTGCTTGAGCCCCCGTGAGGCAACTTTCATGAAGCTAGAAAACACTAGAACACTGGCAGCTTTGGCACTCTGGAAGGAGGGGACCCAGCACTGGGAGAGGAGATGGAAATCCTGACAACTGCTTATCAGAGTGGGAGAAAAGTGACCAAGTGTGCATTTCCGGGAGATGTCGGGAAGGAAATGTACTGTCACACCCCAGAAATGGCAGTGCTCAGTGTTTCAGGATCGGTTCCATGTGTGTCAAATGGGGACACAGTGAGGAGTCAAGGAGTTTGTGTTTGCCAGGCACCTGGCACATAAGAGCTACACTAATTAATAAGTATCTCCACCGTCTATGAAGAATTAGCCCAGCACTGCATTTCAGGATGCTCTGGTTCTCCCAAAGCATCCTCTGGGTGATCTGTGACTGTGAGAGGATGCTGTAGCGGAAGCTGCAAAGACACGGGTGCTTACATCCCAGTATTTCACATTGCATGCTGGAGGAATGCTGCTTCCTCCTAAGTCCTCGCTGTACTCTAGAGTGCACAGTTGCGCATGTGTGAGTTGAACTAACTGCAAATGTGAAAGTAGACCTCGGTTTTCTGAATCCCAAAGAAAGTTCTCATTTGAGTTTCAAGCCAGTTGTGTCCAGTCAGACACCTCCGTCTCCTCTGAGGAAAAAAAAAAAATCCACTCACCTTGATGGTAAGGTTCTTCTATCCTTCCTATAAAGAGAAAACAAGTTATCACCTTTCTTCATCCTTACTTTGCCTTGACACACACTGTGTCTCTCTCCTGCCATCCATCTCCTCCTGCCCCATTCCCCGTCTATGCTTTCTCCACACCGGCCTTCCATGGTCTTTCCCATCCCACAGGAACAAGAGCCTGGGCTAGGGCTGACCACAGGAGCATCACCTGGATCTCCATTCCAACCCCACCACCAATGGGATACACACTCACCAATGGGAGAGATGTAACTGATCTCCAAGACTAGAAAGAGAAAATATATCACCCCACCTGAGAATTAGTATTTGATCTTACTTCCCCTGTATCCCCAACATTTCTCTGCCCTCCGCCTCTACCCCTAGTGCATAAGAGCAGATCTGAAGACCTCTGGCAAAGACAACCAGAAGGGTTTTTGTTGTTCAGTTGTCAGCATGAGGGAGCAGGTTCCACTCGCATTCCCCCAGGACCCTCCACTCACCTAGCTGACTTCCAAATGATGGCTCTGGAAAGATAAAGTGAAGGGGTCACTCACCACGACTCACTCACCCCACCCCTCTCCCTACCTCGAACCTTCCCAGCTCCTCCATCCACCCTTGCTTTTCACCTTGCAATTCTACTTTTATGAGAAATTTCGTATGATAAATCCATTCCCAGGAGATCCTGTCCAAAAAAGACATACCTATCAGAGAATATGCAGAATAGCATACCTCACTCTTGTCTGAGGCAGTGGAACCTTTTAGTATCCTAGGTAGCATACCTAGAAAGTTTTTCTTCTTAGCTTTGGCGAAAAGGAGAATGGCTGATGGGAAAGAGACTCGGTTAGGAGAGATGCAGTTACACCTGCTAGAGTAGTTCCCGCACCCCATTTAGGGACCCTCAGGCCAAACCCCAGGGATGCTGCCAACCTAAACACTAGCCTCTTGACCTTTAATCAGTACCTTTCAGAGTTGCCTTGAAATTTGCATTTTATTTTATTGTGTTGTATTATGTTTGTTTATCTGTTTATTTATTGTGTGTGCATGAATGCCACAGAGCACATGCAGAGGTTGGAGGACAACTCTGGGAGTCAGTTATCTCCTTCCAACACCTGGGACCTGGAGGTGGAACTCAAGGCATCAGGCCTGGCAACAAACACCTTTGCCAGCTGATCCAGCTCACCAGCCTGAAACCTGCATTTCAAATAAGTGTCGTGCCCCCTGACATTCAAGAATTACCCATGAGGACTGGAGAACAAGATCAACTGTTAAGAGTCACTGCTCCTCTTGCAAAGGACCTCAACACAAGGCAGAGCCCTCTTCTGGCCGCCTTGGGACATTGCATGCACATTGTACACAAACGCAGGCAAAACACAAATACTCACAAAAGAGAAATAAACAAATACTCCATGAGGTAAAGCAGACTGGCTTCCTCCTGCCCTGTCATGTAGGCTTCTTGTTAGCCTTCGGTTACTACCTGGCCCTTCCTTATCCACTCTTAGTCTGGCGATCTTTCACTGTTTGAATTATATTCAAAGCGATGTGCTGAGGGCTGAAACTTTCCTACCAACAAAGTTCAATCCTTTGACACATGAAATGAGGCTAGGAAGAAAAATGACACCATTTAAGGTGTGAACCATTAAGTTAAACAAAAACTTCAAAAAGTGTCTGCAAGTCACATTCTGAGCACTAGGGGGCAAGCAGGGCATCTTGTTTACAAAATCAGTCATAGTAGAGAAGGAAAACCAACTGGGACCACGTGCTGACCGCCAAACACAAATTTACTCCTCATAACAGAACAAATAGAAACTAATAATTGTCGCATCACTGGCCAGTCACGAAAGGCAAAACTGGCCTTCTCCTGTGTAAGGGGAAGTGAGCCTTCCCCACAAGGTGACATGAAGACAGGGTAAGTGACCAGCAACGCATCCGGCCCCATTCTGTCTTCACTCCTTCAGTTCACCAAGCTCTCTCCTGACCTGACAACGTTCTCTGCACCTTCAGAAGCCCTCATCCCAGAGTCCCCTCCCATCATCCCCTCCTCTCACACAGGTTCCCTTTAGTCAGCTCCAAGTGCCCTCCACATAGAACATCACTTCTCCTTCCGTGCACACCTCAACCTTTGCAGTTTATCTTCCAGAGAAACTCACCTAGGTTCGGCCTCCGCTAACGTGGCCTTGGTTTCCTGGGTACAACATCTGATCTAAACAGAACTGGGGTTTTTTTTTTTTTTGACTGTTTGTTTGTTGTTAATATTTTTATTAACAGGTTCATTTTCTTTTCCTTTTTAAATGAAAGCTCTTTTCACGTAGCATGATCTGTGACAGAAAGGACCTCTCCCCCAGTCATTTCAAAGGCATCTGCGACCTTGGACCCATTCCCTGCCCTATAACTCCATCAAGGGTGTTTGTAGAGTGTGGACAATCTTCCTCTAGAAGCCATCATCCACTAACTGTACCATACTGTAAATGTTTCCTGGTCTATTGCTGCCAACTAGAGGATTGACTCCAGAACTTTCCCTTGGGCACGATTTACAGAGTAGTTATTTCAGGGGGGGGTGTGTGTGCACGTGAGTGCATGCGTGCGTGCGTGCGTTGAGGGATTGTACGTTTCAAGGTAAAGCCACGGGGGAAACTCCTGTGCCCTGCTGCTCAGGCATCTGCCTACAGTTTCGTATGTGTTGTGCTTCCATCATTTTATGGAGCATTGATGGGGTTTAAGGATCACGTGGTGGGCCTGTGGCTCCCTAATGAGCTTCTGAGAGTACCAAGACCTTGACTGACTAGAGATGAATGACTAGAGAAGGCTGAGACTAAGCCTGGGCTTCATCCAGCTAAAGACACCTCCATTGAGGACCCCACATTAGAAACCTTCCCATGGAGGAGGCAGTGCCTGAGCTTGGCCATGCTTGGCGGTCGCTAAGGATGGTGGGACATGTGCCTTGAAGAGTGAGCACCGCCCCTCCCAGTGTAGAGTCAGGAAAGAAGAGGAGGTTCAGGACTTTGGACACCCCACTCCCACTGGCCCCCCACATGTTCTCACCACAAGTGTCATTCTCAATGACAAGTTGCTTCTTCTTGTAGGCCACCACTGCCCCTTTTTGGATAGGCACTGAATCCGTTGTCTCCCTTTGCCACTGTCCCTGGGCTTGAGCCTGGGGAGACAAGACATTCCCAAAGTTCAATAGCACGTTGTCTCATAAAAATTATGTTTACTTTTAATCAAGGCAACATACGCCTGTAATTTTAAAAATCAAATAAACTTAGAAAGCTCGTGACGAAACACTAGCAGCCCCTCACTTCCCCTTCCTCCTGGACCCCATGTCCAGTTACTGCTTCTCTCCACTTCATGACAATATTTACCTGCATTGAATTCCAGGAGGTGTGCCTGGAGAGGCTGGGCAGTTGAACCCAGATCACCATGATACCAGGCCAGTATTTACCACTGAGCCACACAACCAGCCCTATTATGATGGCTTGATTTTTCCAAACTAGGGATATGATTTCCTGTCTCCCTCTGAGTTGAGGGTCACATTCTCCTACTTGGCCCTCAGTGCTTACTGCTCCCCCCGTATTCAAATCTGGGTTTCTGGGTAGGTGCAGTTTCTCTGTCAGCTGCTGGGTGAGACTGCTTCTCCTCATTCCAGACCGTGTCTCTATCAGGCAGTGTGATGTCCTGTTACCGATTACCTTTTCTGTCCTGTTACTGATTATCTACAGGGGAGCTGAGAGGAACATGCCTGAAAAACTGCATACCTAAAGACATCTTTACCTTGCATTTGGTTCACAACTGGAGGAGACAGAATTTGAAGGTGGAAGTCCTTGGAATTTAAATTGTTTTCCTTTTTTTGTACAATTTCCTTTACTTGAATATGGTTTAATGTTTGAGAATTTCATATATTCATACAATGTATTTTGATCGAACTCACAGCTCATTAACTCATTTCCAACTCTTCTCTTACCCCATTCCCCATCACTTTTCCTTCTCAACTTTTTGAGCTCTTTTTGTTTTTTGACTTTTACTAAACTCAGTGAGTTCCTTTAGTGCTGCCAGACCATGACTCTGGACGATAGCAGGATGTCCAAGGGGATCTTCATTGAGGGTCCAGTACTGATGGTCTACCAGAAGCCAAAGGCCTTGAACCTGAGCAGCAACACACTACACAATGAGCATTTGCAAGTAAAGCTGTTTGGACAAAAGAGTAGGCTGCAGGATACACAGAAGCTCCCACTGCCACTAAGATGAATGAGGAGGTGATGGGGAGGCAGAAGAGATGTTCAAAGAATAAAGTGGTTTTTCATTATTATTTTGTTTCGCTTTATTGCTTTTTCTTTGTTTAATAGTCGTACCTATGGTTTTTATTTTTGTTGTTTCTCTTTATTATTTCTTTTGGTTTTACATTTTCTTTGTTTGATATTCTTATTTGTATTTCCATATTTTATTTTTATTATTTCTTTTTAAGTTTTCCTTTGGGGGGGTGTTCCAAGGATTAAGGGCAGAGAGAGAAGGATTAGAAAATGAGTGGAATTGGGGTATCTGATGTGAAATCTCAAAGAATCAGTAAAAACTTATGTTTAAAAAAGAATTCAATTTAAGATCAGAAATTAGCATATACTACATACCAGCAGGGAGAATAAGGGACCTCGCCCTGTGAGCCCTAGAAACTGCAGCCCAGAGCCCTTGAGAAGCCAGACTGCCCTGGCTACAAAGGCTGTTTTCTTCCCATCTCTAGCCCATACCTTGGCAACCTGGGGGATGAGCGCTTTTCCTGACAGGTCGACACTGCTACTGCCTTCCAGCACAGTGTCCTTGGTCACTTCAAAGGCCTCTGTCACCACATACAGGTCCTTCCTTCCCATCCGGCAATCCTTCACAAACGATGGCTCCTTATCCAGAAGTTTCCTGAAAGTGTAAAATGAGAATGAAAAGATCTCTGACTTCATAGGAACAGAGACCAAATCATGAGGAAAAACAAAATAAACAAAAAACAGAAACTGTGACCCAGCCTCTGAGCACAAAAGAGATTGAGTCAGCTTCAGGCTGGGGATGTGGCTCAGTCTATAAAGTGTTCACCATGCACATGTGAGGACATGAAGTCAGATTCCCAGAAGACACATTGAAGTCCAACGTAGTCACAGCTGACTATATGCAACATCTGCTTCAAATCGGCTAAGGGAGTAGACAGTAAATGTTCTTGTCATAACAATAACAGTTACTGAACTGGCAGGATGGCTCAGCAGGTAGAGGTGTTGTTGGCATGAGTTTGGTTCAGAGACACAAATAGCAAAGGGAGAGACCTGACTTCTGCAAGTTGTCCTCTGACTTCCATATTTGAGCCATGGCATGAGGATGCAATGCACACACACACATACACTATATGAATAAATATAATTTAAAAAATTTAAATAATGGCTACCAGATAACGCAATAATATGTTACTGACTTATATTCACAAATCACACCAAATGTTGCACATAAACATGAATTTCTACTTGTAAATTATATCTCAGAAGATATGTGGTAAAAATCAATGAAGTCCCAAAGGGTTGGAGTGCTCAAGTGATTGTTACAGATTTCTTTACATTTTAATCAGTATTCTAACCACTTTCTTCTATGCTTCTCTCCTCATTACAGGCCCATCCTCTGGGCAATGAACAAAAACCTCTATCAGATCAGAATCTTTATCTGTCTGTCTTGTTTTCCGGTCCCTGGCACATTAATAGAACAGTAATAGGTAATTCCGTATTGATGAATATTATTAGGGTACTCTAAGCTATTATTTCAATGATTTGTAAAAAAAAAAATTAAGCAGAATAATGAGAGTTGTCATAAAACCTGCTCGATGCCCCTTAGCCTACATCACATCCCAAAACATGGTTGAACCTTCCTTTCACCTGTTTTGAAGACTTTCCAGGTTTGAATCTGGGATGCTGGTACACCGAACCTCAATTTCATATCCACAGGACTTAGCATAAGCTGCGGACACACTTCCTTCTGCGATGGCGTTGACCCCCGTGTTAGCCTTCAGTTTCTGGGACACAGTGTGTTTGAGGGGGATGGGAGCTGACACCTCAGGCTCTGAAGAGGAAAGGGGACAGAAGTTTAGCCAAGAATTCACTGTGGAACAGCTTCTCTGGAGAATGGGAAATAGGAGGCTATTTCCCCTCCTCATTTAAATCTTAGTCAAGAATATAGTTAGTAATTACACATGTCATATATAAGAATAATTAATATCTGAAATATAAACTACTGCAGAGGGAAATTTTCAGACCAATGCAAGCATTGACTTAATTCTAAAAAAAGAAAATCATCATTTGTACAGTGTCTAGGAGTCCCCTGAGATTATCTTTCCAAATACAGAATCCAGCCCCAGGAAAAGAAAACTACCTAGGACTTGCAGACAGACTGGCCTCAGTCTGTATTCTAATTCTACCAGTTTGAACCGTATAACTTTGAACAAGTCGTTTTAGGAACCTCAGTTGCTTTTTTGTAACATGGGCACCATATCTCCATCTAAAGAGGCTTTTGGAAGTGTTATACAACCAAATGCAAGGAGAGGTCCATAAAATGAGTGGAGTCTCAAAGGACCTTCCTCGTCCATGGCCTTAAGCAGGAAGGCTCATGAGCTACCTGTCTAGGTGCCTCCTGGGTTCTGGGGAGCTGCGCTACTTCTCTGCCCCTTGGCTGACAATACCTGGAACTGGAAGATTTGGCTCTAAGATCTGCAGGAGGGAATATCCAACTGGAGTATCTTCAGATTTCCAAAACAGGGACTGAGGAGTCCTCTGCAGTATTGCAAACTGTTGGAACTTCTTTGCATCTGACAGACGGGTGACGGGATTCAAATCTTTTCCTTGAAGTTTTCTGACCACGTCCTTGCAAACCCAGTCAAATGAGTAGGGCATGTTGCTAACATCAGACAGAAGGAAGTGCAAAGTTTAGTTAAGAAGAAAAGTGTAGTTGGCTCTCAGTGAATCCTGGTATTTTTCCTAAACCACCAAAGGGAGAGCCCACACATCAGCACTCAGCAGAGATATACCCATCCAAGTTATCCTTGAACTATTCCAAATACTCAAAATACAGACTCAGGCTAGAGACTCATCAAAAGATGAAAGGAGCCAGCAACCTGGGACGAAGTGGGCCTGGGACCGTGAACTCCAAGGGAGCAGGAGCAGATCCAGACCAGGGACATTTGTGGAGCACTGAGCTCCATGGGAACAGGACTGAGTCAGCAACCTAGGCCAAAGCAGGCCTGAGAGGGCAAGCTCCACGGGAGTGGGAGCAGACCTGGGACATTTGCAGAAGCAGGACTGAGCCAGAGACCTGGGCCTGAGCAGACCTGAAATAGTGAAGTCCACAGGAGCAGGTACAGAGGAGGAAATTCTGAATGATTGGGCCAGAGCCTTAGGCCACTGCGGGTGTGGGCATGAATCTGGAACCTTCAAGGGAGTAGACCTGAGCCAGGACCTCTAACAGAGAAATAAGGGAAATAACAAATGTTATGACTCAAAAGGACTTAACAGACATCTATAGAATATTCCATACAAACATAAGATATACCTTCTTCTGAGCACCTCATGTAACCTTCTCAAAAATTGATCACATACTCGGTAACATAACAAACCTCAACAGATACCAAAAAATGGAATAACCCCATGTATCTTATCAGATCACCGTGGCTTAAAATCAGAATTCAACAGCAATACTAATTCCAGAAAGCCCACAAACACATAGAAATCAAACAATGCTCATCTGAATCCTCAATGTGTCAAGGAAGAAATAAAGGGAGGAATTAAAGACTTCCTAAAATTCAATGAAAATGACCGTACAACATACCCAAATTTATGGAACACAATAAAAGCAGTGTCAAGAGGAAAGTTCATAGCACTAAATGCCTACATAAAGAAGCTGGGAAAATCCCACACTAGTGAATTAACAGAACATTTGAAAAATTTAGAACAAAAAAAACAAATCCACCAAGAGAACTAGAAAGAAGAAAATAATCAAATTGAGAGATGAAGTCAACAAATTAGAAACAAAGAAAACAATACAAAGAATCAATGAGACAAAAAGTTGGTTTTTCAAGAAAATCAACAAAATAGACAACAAACCTTTATCCAAACTAACCAAAAGGCAGAGAGAGAATATACAAATTAACAAAATCAGAAATGAAAAGGGGGACATAACAACAGACATGGAGGAAATTCAGAGAATCATCAGGTCATATATCAAAATCCTGTACTCCACAAAATTGGAAAACTTAAAGGAAATGGACAACTTTCTGGATAAATATCACTTACCAAAATTAAATCAAGCCCAGATAAGCAAATGAAATAGACCTATCGGTGCTGAAGAAATAGAAACAGTCCTCCAAAGTCTCCCAACCAAAAAAAGCCCAAGACTAGAAGGTTTCAGCTCAGAAATCTACAAAATTTTCAAAGAAGAACTAAAACCAATACTCTTCAAATTGTTCCACACAATAGAAACAGAAGGAACATTGCCAAACTCTTTTTATGAGGCTACAATTACCCTGATACCAAAACCACAGAAGGACATTACTAAGAAACAGACCAATCTCACTCATGAACATTGATGCAAAAATGCTAAATAAAATACTGGCAAATTGAATACAGGAACACATCAGAATCATGATCCACCATGATGAAGTCAGCTTCATCCCAGAGATGCAGAGATGGTTCAACACATGTAAATCTCTCAACATAATTCACCATATAAACAAACTGAAAAATCAAAACCACATGATCATCTCATTAGATGCCAAAAAAGCTTTCGACAAAATACAACATCCCTTCATGATAAAGGTCTTGGAGAGAGCAGGGATAAAAGGAACATACCTAAACATAATAAAGGCAATATACAGTAAGCCAACAGCTAACATCCTTTAAATACTCAGGAGGCAGAGGCAAGCAGAGTTCTGTGAGTTTGAGGCCAGTCTGGTCTACACAGCAAGTTCTAGAACTGGCTCCATAGCTACTGAGAAACCCTGTTTCAAAAAATCTCACCCCCCCCCCAAAAAATGAACAAAAAAAAAAACCAGATATCGGACTCTCTGAATATGGCGGACAATGAGGGCTGCTGAGAAGCCAAGGACAATGCCACTGGGTTTTGATCCTACTTCATGTTCTGGCTTTGTGGGAGCCTAGCCAGTTTGGATGTCCACCTTCCTAGACCA